GAAGCAGTTTCTCTCTAGCCTTTCTTAGACCAAGTTGCTGGCCAGGTTCCCAAGATCTCACAGTCCATTTACAGATGGCCTTCACTATATTTCCCATAGGGTGGGAGGAGGAGTTGGATCATGGGAAGGGGCCCATGTTCCCATTTACCATACACATGCCTCCATGTTCCCATTTACCATACACATGCTGTGCCTCCTGTTTCTAGGTATGTTGTGAATATAAAAACTTCTTTCTTCATGACAATCATTTCCATATCTATTTGTCTTACCATACCCAATTAAAACAAATTACAGGTACATTTAAAAACACCAGCCCTAGCCAGTTTTGCTAAATGGATAGCGCATCGGCCTGTGCACTGAAGGGTCCTGGGTTCAATTTTGGTCAAGGGCACATGCCCAGATTGTGGGCCTGAACCCCAGTAGGGGGCATGCAGGAGGCAGCCAATCAATGATTCTCTCTCATCATTGATGTTTCTATCTTTCTCTCCTTCTCCCTTCCTCTCTGAAAGCAATAAAAATATTAATTAATAAATAATAAAGACATCAATTATATTCCTCCTTTTTTCACGTGTGAATGAATCCTGGGTCTTTGTAGGGAACCCAACAGGTTCTGGGTCTCTCCCATGGAGCATATCTTTTTTTTTTTTTTATTTTTATTGATTTTTTACAAAGAGGAAGAGAGTCAGAAACATCGATGAGAGAGAATCATCGATCAGCTGCCTCTTGCACACCCCCTACTGGGGATGTGCCCGCAACCAAGGTACATGCCCTTGACCAGAATCGAACCTGGGACCTTTCAGTCTGCAGGCCGACCCTCTACCCACTAAGCCAAACCGGTTTCGGCCCATGAAGCATATCTTTTAAGTGCTTCCAGAAATCACAAAATCATCACAAAAACCCTGACCCTTCCACCTACAAGCTACCAGGAGTTGGGGCTGGGGATCTGTTGTGAAAAGGTCAACCTTGAGTTATGGTGGAATCACAAGATTGGAGAAGAACCTGCTGGCAATTTGAAGGAACTATTCTTCCCTCCCCTTCCTAAACTCTGACTTAGGCTAAAAAATGTATCCTGTAGCTTTGGAGAAGTGATTCTATAAAACTTTTCTCTACAGACATTTAAAAAACAACTTTTACCAATCAATGAAAGAGAAACACCACATGACCTCACTCATTTGTGGATAATAAAGAGCATTATAAACTGATGAACCAAAAGATAGATATAGAGACAGTAAAGCAACAAGCAGATTGTCAAATTACAGCGGGGAGGGGAGGAGGATCTGGGGGAGATAATAGATCAACCGAAGGACTTGTATACATGCATATAAGTACAACCAATGGACATAAAACTATGGGGAGGGAGGGGATATAGGGGAGAGAGGGAGGGGGGCAAAAAAAATCATTAAAATATGTAAAAAAATAAATTAATTAATTAAAAAAATAAAATAAAATGAAATGAAAAAATAAATAAATAAATTTTTGAGGTGTATAAAAAAAAAATTAAAAAAAATTAAAATAAAATAAAATAAAATAAAAAACAACTTTTAGCCGAAACCGGTTTGGCTCAGTGGTAGAGTGTCGGTCTGCGGACTGAAAGGTCCCAGGTTCAATTCCGGTTAAGGGCATGTATGATACCTGGGTTGCGGGCACATCCCCAGTGGGGTTGTGCAAGAGGCAGCTGGTTGATGTTTCTCTCTCGTCGACGTTTCTAGCTCTCTATCTCTCTCCCTTCCTCTCTGTAAAAAAATCAATTTAAAAAATATATTTAAAAAACAACTTTTAAATATAGGTACAAAATAGTAACCATAGCATGTAGACGAGAAACAACATGTATTATTAGAATTAGTTATGAGAATTAGATGTAGGGCTTAGGAAAGCCTCTGTGTGAGTAAGTACAGAATGCTATAGGCGAGGCACTCAGCCCAATCTTGAGAGATAAAAGGTGTTCCAGAGGAAATCAAATCTTGCTGAAGCCTAAGGATGAGTAAGAGTTAGGCATAGTCCTGGCCTGCATGGCCCAGTGGTTAGAGCCAGTGCACTGGAGGGTCGCAGGTTTGATTCCCAATCAAAAAACTAAAACCATTTCACCTAAGAACAGGAATGAGACAGGGATGCCCACTTTCACCACTCCTGTTCGATACAGTACTGGAAGTGCTAGTCATAGCAATTAGACAAGAAGAAGAAATAAAAAGTATCCAATTTGGAAAAGAAGTAAAACTGTTATGATATGATACTGTACATAGAAAACCCTAACAACTCCATCAAAAAATTATTGGACTTAATAAATGAATCCGGCAATGTAGCAGGATACAAAATTAACACCAACAAATCTATAGATTTTTATACACCAATAGTGAACTTACAGAAAGAAAGATTTTTTAAAATATCCCATTTACCATTGCACACAAAAAAAGTAAGATACTTAGGAATAAACTTAACTAAGAAAGTAAAAGACCTTTACTCAGAAAACTATAGGACCTGAAAAAAGAGATAGAGGACGACATAAACAGATGGAAGAACATACCATATTCATGGATTAGTTAAATCAACATCATTAAAATGTCCATACTACCCAAAACAATCTACAGATTCAATGCAATCCTCATTAAAATACCAATAGTATATTTCAAAGACCTAGAACAAACTCTCCAAAAATTCATCTGAATAAAAAAAGACCTGGAATAGCCATAGCAATCCTGAGAAAGAAGAACAAAGTTGGAGGGATCACAATACCAGATATCAAGTTATATTACCACGCCACAGTTCTCAAAACAGCCTGGTACTGGGATAAGAACAGACCTACAGACCAACGGAACAGAACAGATAACCCAGAAATCAACCCAAGCCATTATGCTCAATTAATATATGACAAAGGAGGCAAGAGCATACAATGGAGTCAAGACAGTCTCTTCAATAAGTGGTTCTGGGAAATTTGGTCAGATACATGCAAAAAAAAAAAATGAAACTAGATCAACAACTTACACCATATACAAAAACAAACTCAAAATGGCTAAAGGACCTAAATGTAAGACAGGAAACGATAAAAATCTTCCAAGACTCCATAGGCAGCAAAATAACAGACATATGTCGTAGCAATATCTTTACAGACACAGCTCCTAGGGCAATGGAGCCTAAGGAGAAAATAAACAAATGGGACTATATCAAAATAAATAGCTTCTGCACAGCAAAAGAAATCTTCAACAAAACAACAAGAAAGCCCACTGCATGGGAGAACATATTTGCCAATGCTATTTCAGATAAGGGTTTAATCTCCAAAATTTACAGAGAACTCATGCAACTTAACAAAAGGAACATAAACAATCCAATCAAAAAAATGGGCCAAGGACCTAAGAGATACTTTTCAAAAGAGGGCATACAAAAGGCCGAGAGACATTTGAAAACATGCTCAAAGTCACTAATCATTTGAGAGATACAAATCAAAACAACAATGAAGCACCATCTCACACCTGTCAGAATGGCTATCAACAAACAAGTGCTGGTGAGAATGTGGAGAAAAGGGAACTTTTATGCACTGCTGGTGGGAATGCCACTGGTGCAGCCACTGTGGAAGACAGTATGAAGTTTCCTTAAAAAGTTAAAAATGGCCCTAACCGGTGTGGCTCAGTGGACAGAACACCGGCCTGCGGACTGAAGGGTCCAGGGTTCAATTCCGGTCAAGGGCATGTACCCATTAGGATGTGTGCAGGAGGCAGCGGATCGATATTCTCTCTCATCGATGTTTCTATCCCTCTCCCTTCCTCTCTATAAAAAATCAATAAAATATATTTTTTTAAAAATAAAATAAAATAAAACTATGTCTGATGCCAGGTGGGGCACTGGAAATATCAGGGGGAACACTTGGTCAAGAATATGAGTGTCTAATCATGATGTTGTACCTCTGCAACTAATACAAAATAATATGGAATGTAAATGGAATTTAAAATAAACAATTGCTGCCGAAACCGGTTTGGCTCAATGGATAGAGCGTCGGCCTGAGGACTGAAAGGTCCGGGGTTCGATTCCAGTCAAGGACATGTACCTTGGTTGTGGGCACATCCTCAGTAGGGGGTGTGCAGGAGGCAGCTGATTGATGTTTCTCTCCCATCGATGTTTCTAACTATTCATCTCTCTTCCTCTCTGTAAAAAATCAATAAAATAAATTTAAAAGTAAACAATTGCTATGGGAGAGAGAGAGAGAGAGAGAGAGAGAGAGAGAGAGAGAGAGAGAGACAACCAGAGATTAAAATTAAATGTCTTGGTAACTGTTCTGAGGCTATTTCTTTGCTTTTCATTATTATAAAGAATCTGATATCATTGATTTGTATTAATTTCATCTACCCAATTATAAACTTCTTCAAAGAAAGAACTATCCTTTGTAAAGAGGTGGGTTCTAAATAAAACACCATTGGTATTCTGAATCTTAATACCAACTCTACATACTTCCAATTGGTTCATTTAACTTGCAGACATAGGAACCCTTGCTTCCATGTGCTGTCCTTCCTTTGCAAAGATGTTCCTGGGAGTGGATAATTAGTTAAAATGTTTGCTCCACTCTCAATCTGTCCTCAATCTTTCTATCACCAAAGACTTTGTAGCCATGGAACAAAGTAAAATAAATCAGTTACTTCCAGTGCATCAGTGCTCCATGATCAACTGAATTAACTGACCCCAGAGAACATATTGAGACTCTGAGACTGGGAAACTGAAAAGTCACTTTTGTGAACATCACCTTACAACCAAGCATTAGGGTCAAACTCATAAGCTACTAGAAGGAACAAAATAGGCAGCAGGTTAGCAACTTGCAGTGACCCGGAGGAAGAAGTGCTGCTCCTACATTTCTGAGTTCAAGGGCAGCAAGTCTAGCTAGAAATTCAGGGTATCTGTATGTCAACAAAAGCATGTCTACACTATAGAAAACTTTTATATGAAATTTGAGACAAAATTTTGAAAAAATGCCTAGAAACAGCATCTCAACGAATTGAAAAGATGCTCTGGAGAATGACCCGTTTTGCAGCTAATTTTATACATTTAGAATCAAAGGAAGGTTACATGAAATCCACTGGTGGTACATTAAGAAAGCAGGAGAAATCAAAGCAGGAAAAGCAAAGGAGGGAAACATCTAAGATTGGATAAAAAAACAAAATGGAAAAGCACATACATCTTTTACGTGGATGGATAGAAGATAATTATAGTGCATAGATACAGGTGCAGGCAACAAAATAACAGCGAGTTTTGTGGTCTTGTGTTCTGGTGCTGCAGGTTGGGCTTTTTAGGTCTGAAGAAGAAAATTACTCAGGCATTTCACAGTTGTTATCTTAGCTGCATAAGAACAATGGGTGCAAGGCTCACTTAAAGATTGACCTTTGCACTGAAACCAGTTTAGAGCATCGGCCTGCGGACTGAGGAGTCCCAGGTTCGATTCCGGTCAGGGCATGCACCTTGGTTGCGGGCACATCCCCAGTGGAGGGTGTGCAAGAGGCAGCTGATTGATGTTTCTCTCTCATTGATGTTTCTAACTCTCTATCCCTCTCTCTTCCTCTCTGTAAAAAATAAAAAATTAAATAAAATAAAAAAAGATTGACCTTTGCTAAGGAAGCTATAAGACTGGGACATACATGACTATCCACCGTGCCCACCCCAGTTAGGAATGTATTATGAGACCATCCTGTGTGGTCACTTTCTGTCACTGAGTTTGCCAAGCCTGACAAGCAGTCCCCTTTTCCTTCACAAGTTAAGGAAGAAGCACCTGCAAAGCAAGCACTGTCTTCAGTGGGGGATTGGGAAGGTCTGAATTCCCCCAACTCCCGCGTCCTGTGGTGCCTGCCATGGGGGGTGGAGAGAAACAGGGGGGCAGGGAACAAGTGATTCTAACCCAGGACGGAACTCAGGTGCGTTCCACAGAGGAAAGTGGCTCTGAGGGGGGCTCTCTGAAGGGAAAAAAAAAACAAAAAAAACGTAGTCGTCCTTAGAGTCCCAGTGACTGGCAAGGCCCCAATTCTCAGCAACTCATGTACTGACAAACGCTCCTGGGACACAGCCACGGAGCCACACTTCCGGTTCACAAGCATGAGGAATTTCCTAGAAAAGGAGTAAGACACCTACGCTCCTTCGTCACCACCTCTAGCCGGGGTGTGTGCGCCTCCCGCTGCAGAAGGGCCCACACAGAGCCTCAAACGCGGACTCTTCCCCCGACGCCGCCCCCGCCGGGGAACGAGCATGGCGGCCCAGGCTTTGCGCATGCGCGGGCTGCCCGCCGCGCGGCCGCTCTGCGCAGGCGCGGTGACGGCTTCCGGTATCTGTCAGCCGCTCCCACTGGGCCCCGGTCCTCCGCCAGCGCCCGCCGGAGCCTGTTCGCGTCGACTGACCAGAGTCCGCGAATCCTCCGCTCCGAGCCGGTCCGGACTGCCCCGAGCCCAGGTAAGGGGCCGTGGGAGCGCGCTTCTGACCCCGTGAGCCTCCATCGACCTGGCCTCGCCGCGCCCCGGACCCCGCGGGGGCGACGAGGCGAGGGTTTAGGCCGCGGGGCCCGGAGGGCGGGCCGGGGCTCCCAGCCCGGCCTCCGGAGGGGCGGGGGGACCCCCGCTTCCCGCGGGACCTGCGGAGCTCGTGGGGCTCCGTAAAGATCGCTTCTCCCGAAATGTTCGAGCTCCGAGCGTCCTCCGATGCCCAGAATTAACGGCTCCTTCCCCTGCCTGCGCTTCCATCGCCCTGTTTGCACCTTTATTGTGGCCATTTATCACCGTCTGTAAAACTGTAATGTTAAGTGGAATCGTCTCCCTCTAATCGGTGGGTCACGGGGGACCGTTTGTTTCTTTCTTTAGCACACGGCGGGCGCTCGTGGGACATTTGGCTTCTATCTAGGGCAGCCCTCAGTCCTTCAGTTATTGGGAGACCCAATTGTAGGGAAACCTTCCCTGAATTCTAGGGAAACCTTTCCCCGAGTTCCTTAAGATTCCCCCTCTTGAGTACCGCTGTCCGCTAACTCAGAATGGCACATCCTGGCTCCTTGCAAACCTCTGATGTAGCAGCACCTGTCACATTCCCACCCTCCAGTCCGACTGTCAAAATTCTAATCCCGGCACCGCCCACTTCCTTGGATGACCCTGGGAAGACTGCTTCTCCGAGTCCCTGTTTCCTCATCTGCAGTGACAACATTCTTAGGGCTTTCTGGCGAATCAAGTGAGTTTATTTATATAAATTGCTTAGAATAGTTTCTGGCCCAGAAGTAGGTGCTCAGTACATAGTAGCTATTATTATTGCTTCTGTGCATTCTTGGCATATTTATCTTCCCTTCCTCCTAACCTCCCTCACTCCTCACTTGAGGTCCAGAAAAGTGTCAAATTGACTTATATTTCTGGCCCCGACCTGGTACTTACACTGCCGGGAACCTAGTAGGCACTTATATTGTGACTTTGACTCTGGTTATAACGCCATCTGTTCTCATACTGCAACGTTAGACACTGTTTTTATGGGCCTCAACTCATCGCCTAAATTATCCTACTTCTGTCGTCTTTCATCAGTTTTATCTAACCTTTTGGGTTTCGTGTAGGCTCTGGGTTTTTTCGGGTATATAAAAACAAAAGAGAGGAAAGCAGACGGGTATTTTTGCCGTGTTAGGGAATTGGTATTAACTAGCTCCTTCCTATCACAAAGTAGTCAGAGAATTTCTGGAGTCAATCCATCTACTTATCACAATTTAAGGAGGGGGTTCATCTTGGAATAATTAAAACTCCTGCTTGGAGAGAGAGGGGCAGTATTCCAATCGAGTTGACTAATCCTATGCTAAAACAAATTTTGCATAAAGAAGTTCAGAATGCTTGGCTGGTGAGGCTGGTGCCGGAAGTTGGAACCTGTCTCTGAATGTGTGGAGGGTGTGGTGACCTTGTTGGAGTACCTGGTATTGCTGGGCTGGGTAATGAGAGCAATTAGAAACTAGATGAATCATAATCTTGAAAACTGACTCAGGGAACTGAAATTTCCACTGTACAAATACTTTCAAGCTCCAAGGCCAAGGTCAGAGGATACTAACTGGTGTGTACTTCTTGGGATGGTTCAAAAGCCTTGGGTCAACGGGAGAAAGGGAATTAACTTACTGAGCATCTGTTCTGAGTTAGGCTTTGTACTGTACTACATGCTTTCACATGTTATTTCATTTAATCCTCCTACCAACAGCCTTGGGATGCCAGTGATATGTGCATTTTACAGATTAAAAAAAAAAAATAAGATTTAAAGATACTAAGGTCTCATAGCTTGTATGTGTCAACAGCAGGATTCAAACTCATGTTCCCTTGGCTCCAGAGCCCATGGCTAAGCAAACATCAGAATGACTCTACTCAAAGTGATAAATAAAGGAGTTTGAAGGGAGGGAGAATTCCTGGAATCATATTATACTATCATCTTAGAGCGAGACAATAAAAGGTCATCAATAGGAGCTTATTAAATTTAATGTCACTACCTTCTTGTCTGCCCCTTTTTCTCCTCTCTACCCTCATGAAGACAAAGGTTTTGAAATTTAACTTAAAATACTAATCACAGTTTAGAAATGATAATTATTACCCTATGATAGAAGTTATCTTTATCTTGGTACAAGATTCAAGCTATTATTATGCTCCATTCATTGAGTTTCATGAATACAGGTTGTGTGTACTGAGTGCCTTATAAATTTGACAAACATGACTGTTGTCTCGGCCTAATGACTTAAAATAGCCACATGATTATAAAAGAATTACAGGTCTGAGCCTGTGTCCAAATATGGCTCTTGAATAATAATAACAAAATTAGAAATACAATATTAGAAGGAATTATGCCATTGTGTAAATGCTTACCTCTTTAGAAGGCTTTGCTACATTACTTACAAAATTAATTAAAGAATGAGAAAGCCTTTGTCTGCAACTGTTCTTTTTAAACTATAGATGAAATATGTGCTTTTATTGCATATAGACTTCACATTAAATTATTAACTTAAAGACAAATTTTGTTTTACTTAACAAATTACCATATAAAGTGTAGCTGTAAACTAAAGTGCTTTTCATTAAGGAGATATTTGTAACACTACATGTTATTTTTAGTAACTGTGAGTAAAACCTGTTGTGATGGGTCAGCATCTGATGTCAGAGATAAAGAGAATCATGCAGTGAGTCAGAAAGGTGTTTTGTTTGTTTTATCCTCACCCAAGGATATGTTCATTGATTTTAGAAAGAGGAAATGAGAGAGAGAAGCATTGGTGTGAGAAAGAAACATCAATTGGTTGTCTCCCCTATGAGGCCCAACTAGGGACCCAACCTGCAACCTAAATTTGTGCCCTGACCGAGAACCGAACCCAAAACCTTTTGGAACACTGGACAGCGCTCCAGTCATCTGGCCAGAGGTAAACTTTTTTTTTTTTTTTTTTTTTTTTTTTTTTTTTTTTAAGTTTTGTGGGAAACAGGCCACCAAAAATTTGGTTGCCTCCAAAAAAAAAAAAAAAAAAAAAAAAAAATGGGGGAGAGAGAGATGAACATTTGTTTAAAAAAAAAAAAATTTAGCTGAAACCGGTTTGGCTCAGTGGATAGAGCGTCAGCCTGAGGACTGAAGCATCCTAGGTTCGATTCTGGTCAAGGGCATGTGCCTTGGTTGCGGGCACATCCCCAGTAGGGGGTGTGCAGGAGGAAGCTGATAGATGTTTCTTTCTCATCGATGTTTCTAACTCTCTATCCATCTCCCTTCCTCTCTGTAAAAAATCAATAAAATATATATATATTTTTTAAATTAGCAGTCTCATTTGAATTTTTTAATTGTTTTATTTTCCTATTAGAGGCTTTTTCTGTATTTTTGAATTGCAGTTTGATTTCTAGAACATGCAAAAGTAAAAAATTAATGGCCTTACCATCTTCACCCTTGGAATAAAAGGTGAAACACTGACATTTCTCTGTCAGTTCAAGAAATCAAATGTTTGCCGAGACCGGTTTGGCTCAATGGATAGAGCGTCAGCTTGGGGACTGAAGGGTCCCGGGTTCGATTCCGGTCAAGGGCATGTACCTAGGTTGCGGGCATATCCCCAGTAGGGGGTGTGTAAGAGGCAGCTGATCGATGACTCTCTCTCATCGATGTTTCTAACTCTCTATCTCTCCCTTCCTACAAAATCAATAAAATATATTTAAAAAAAAAAAAGAAATCAAATGTTTTATTTAAGGGTGCACTTATCTCTTTTTGATCTTTGGGTTCCTTCACAACAATTAGTAGAGACATTTTTTTCTGCTTTCCACTGAAATTAGCTTCTTTGTCTGCTGTGTTCACAACCTTCTCTGTCCTTGCATTTATTTCCTGCTTACATCAGAATTCCTATTTCACATTTCAGTCTCCACCCTAGGTTTGACTTGTACTTTAACATGTATTAAAACTTCAGAGTGTTATGAGAGTGCCTCTTAGGAATTATAAAATGGGGTGCTTTTTGAAAAAATTTCTCCTATTTCAGGTAATGGTTGCTTCTTCATGGATCTAGATTTGAGTGCCTATAAAATAGAGAATTTTATTTGATTTTTAATTTAGTGATATTTCACATATTCCTGCTTTTCATTTAGTTACAATAAAAAGTTAAAGAGTAATATAACAAATACTTGCATACTCTTATCCTGGATTCACCTGTTGTTAACATTTTGCCACATTTGTTCTTTATATATCTACATGTACTGAAGGATTGAAAACAAATTACAGAAAACATCATCACTCTTCATCATCTTTA